TAACTCTGCCTTCTCTGTATCCTTTGTCACCAGGGCACCCGCCCCATTCAGCAGCAGGCCCACGTTTTCCCTAGTCTTCCTTTTGCTATTGATGTATTTGAAGAAGCCCTTCTTGTTGTCCTTGACATCCCTTGCCAGATTTAATTCCAAATAGGCCTTAGCCTTCCTTGTCGCTTCCCTGCATACTCTGCCAATGTCCCTATATTCCTCCCAAGTGGCCTGTCCCCTTTTCCACATTCTGTATGCTTCCTTCTTCTGTTTGAGTTTTGCCAGGAGTTCCTTGCTCATCCATGCAGGTCTCCTGCCCGCTTTGCTTGAATTCTTATTCAGTGATGCACTGCTCTTGAGCCTGGAGGAGGTGATGCTTGAATATTAACCAGCTCTCTTGGAGAGCTGGTTTAAATTAACATGGTCCAGTGTGAAGCTCTTCAGTCCAACTGCTCCAACAGGGTTTTATATTTGACAACTTCCCCACTTAAGCCGCAACCTAGTGGGTCAACTACTGCTGTATCATTTTTCCAGTGTTTCTCTTGACTGTATGATGTAAGTTAGCAGAGAACAGGACACACTGCAAATTAAGCTTTCTGTGCCTTCAGACTCTTTACCATGGCCATTTTAGTTCTTTATTTCCTGCTCTGACTGGTAGAACAGACCTTTGATTGTATGGCATTTGGTGCCACACACTTGCTGTGTTAACCACTCCCCACCACCAAGTGGCTGCTAGCATATGAATGTTGCATCTTGTTCTATTCTGTTCCTCATCTTGTTCTGAGACAGCTTTAGTGGTTCTTGTCCTTAATTCCTAGAAATATGCCTCCAGTTGCCCTGCATGCATATAGTGACTATCCAGTTGGCAGTGCTTTTAGCAGGGATTTTCCCTTCCTATGTGGGCAAGTTAAGAGGTTCTGCTTCAAAATACCACAGGGAGTAGGATTATCTGCACTTCCCAACCTACCGCTTTGTGAATGCCAAATGATGATTGGTACGAGGACAGAAATTCCCTCACTCACTGTCACTTTCATTAGGCTTCCAGTTCATTTAGATGATTTTAACATAAATTTTCTAATTCCTGATACAAGTTGATACAAGTGACCACAAGACGGGCAAGAGAGGGTCGGATACCAGTGGAGAGAGACACTCAGAGTTTATGAGGGGGTTAAACAGGGTAGATTTAATGAAGGACTTGCACTCCAAGCTGCACGAGGAGCCCCAGGAACTGCGCGGTGGGGCCGCGGATGGGAGGCTGCTGGATGCACAGGTTGAATGCACAGGTCGGACACCCAGGTGGGACTCCACTTGTTGTATCCTAAGGGCCCCTTACATCTACTCGAACTCTCTCCTTATCTCAGCTGTGCTAACCTTGGGTAGCTACCGGCCGGGAAGCACCTAGACATTGCTGATAAAAGGGAATATGCATGTCTGGCCCTGATGGGAATCTGGTCAGTGTGTAGAGAGCATGCTCTGGGGCTGCTACCACGTACTCTGCCAGCCACTGACTCCTCGCCAGGTCTTCCACAGGTGTGCTCACTACACTAGCTAAGTGCAATATAAAGCTAAAACATCATTTAGCTTTAAGGCTGGGACATTTTTTAGAATTACCATTTATTTACATTGTGGACAGCTGTAAAACACTTTGCAGACTAGATCCTTGCTTGGACCACATCCTTTCCTTTGACCACCCGTTCTGCTTGAATTGGCTGTGAGTGGGCAGCTGAGATGAGGAGCTATCAGGGATCCTCAGATGGTTTTGAATCTGCTGTAGTTCAAGTTTTTTACTCCAATAGATTGTGACTATCCATCCCAATCGCTTTTAGGCCTGGGTAACTGCAGTCACTTCCGTATGCTCAGGCACATTTTGGTACTTTTTCTAATAAACCCAGTACTTGAGCCTTCAGAAAAATATTACCCCTTTGGACATTCAAATCTTGTTCATGATAATTCCTCACCACAACCCCCTATTCAGATTTCATATATGAATGTCCACCAGCAAACTAACAGTTTGCTTTTGTTTGTGCAGTACTCTGCATGAAGTTCACATAAAAATCAGCATTAGATACTATGCAAACATCAAAGTGGAACTTCATCTCTGATCTAGAAAAAGCATCTTTCTAATTTCAAAACATTTGACAAAAGATTTTTTCTTTTTAAGTTTAACTTACAGGGAGGGAACACATTTTGTGGACACATTTGAACAGGTTAATAAATAGCATTTGTATATATGTAACCAAAACAGTAATTTATCAGATAGGACACAGATGTGGAGGGATAACATGCCAATCTGCATATACAGTTGTGTTCATGATGAACTGCTGTTTATTCAGGGCCAGTGTAGCTTGACAACGTCAGAAGAACTATTATAGCATATGACATTGTGCTTAGCCAGAAGACGACAATAAATTATCTCAAATAAAAATAGTAGAAACATAAAGAATAAAATTCTGAGACTGCTCATTATTTCACTGGCAGTTGTCAGAACAGAGGACTGAAGAGAGAGATTTGTACTTAGTGCATTATGCCCCCAGGTCAGAAAGAGCGATGTGTGGTTTATGTTGCAAAATCTAAATGATTCTGTATTACCCTGATCAAAGTGTAAATGAGAATAGAAACAATGAATACAGCATTTACATTCATTCTATGTATTTTTTGGATGAAAATAGCCATTTCTGGTACAAAGATTTTAAAACTAATTTGCTTCACTGTGTCCTTATTTTTGGAGATTATTCTTTTGAGAAGAGTTGCACAGAATTCAAAGAGCATAGGATGAAATCTAAAGGAAGTACATAATGCATGGAAATACTGTATACAGTTATGTGACATCATAATGGACAGGTAAAGGTGCAATTTAAGTTTGTACATACACTCTCCTTTTGAGTGCCCAATTTTCCCTCAAAAATATCATTTTAACATCATTATTTTAAAATGTTAACAAGTTTAATGAAATATTTTTATTTTTCTAACAAAAAGAGGATTTATTCAAGAAATTGCAGTAGTACATTCCTTTTAAGCAACCTTGCAAAAGCAAACAGCAGGAACAGGTAAGAATGTTGTTTCTGCAGTAGACTTTCAAGAAGGCAAAACCCACATTCTTTATTTTAGCAGCCTTTAAAATAAGTGCCCATTACTGCATTGTGAGACTGGATCTTGAATTTTTTTAAAGCAGACAGCGGTTTTGACAAATGAAAGGAACCCTGTTATCAATTACAGCCATTGATGTATCTTAACATTTCTGTCTATTTTCATCGTAGATCTGAATGAAAAGAGCAAGGAAAATATATTGTCATTTCTTTTAATATCTAATTTCTTGCCATTTTTCAGGACTGCATGTTACACAGGAGTCTCATTGGTGATCTGAAAGCATTCATAGATAAATATGGGTTTGATGTACTTGTCATTTTGGCCAACTATTTGTCAGATGAGGAGCAAACAAAACAACGAATAGCAGTATACTCGGAAAACTTAGAGCTAGGCAGTCAAGTAAGTACCTGGAAGAAGAATCAAAGAATATCTTTCATGAAAAAAAATTATTCTTTACGATTGTGTATGACAAAAAGTGTTTTATAATTAAGTGGGGCTAATAAGTAGCTACAGTTGGCTGGCAGATGAGTAGCTATTTTAAATGGTTGTATTATTTACATGATGCAAAATAAAAGATTCCAATATTAATGATTGTTTCAGACCAGTCTAACAGAAAGAGCAAATGGTCACAAGAAATATAGAAAAGAGAAAAAAGGAATTTTCAGTTTAGCTAAAATAGAATTTTTTTTTGCACTTGTTTTGACTTGATTTTGTATTGTGATCTACCCCAATGAGCCTTTGACAGTGAGTTATGAACAAACACATTATAAAAGGTGATGACCAGAACACTTATACGTGTATGTTCATCTCTAAAGAATTTATGCTCTGAAATGAAGCCAAATTATTACTAGGATTTTAGTTTATCCAAAGACAGGTGCTGTCCATTTTTTTCATGATACTCATCCCCAAATTGAAGAAATCACCACCGTGGCAACTTCTTGTAGCTTTTTTTCAGTCTTAAGTACTTCTGAGTTTAGGGACGGATACCTAAATGACCCCATTGCTTTCAGGGTCAATACAAATCTATTTTATGAATCTAATTATCACCTTCTAGAAATACTTGTTTTCTTTTGTACCCTTTGTATATTTGATTCAGATTTCTTAGGGCAACAACTAAACACTTTAGATTTTGTTTTACTGATGAAAAGTGAACTTGAAAGACAAATGGTATAATTTCAAGTAAATATTCTGGCTAATCCTATAATACATATTTTTTATTGATCCTGAATTTTAATACTTCATCTATTTAGGGTTAATAAAAAGACTATTATGGCAAAATGGCCAAGAAATAGATTAACAGGAATAGATAGTCATGGTTGTGTTGCACAGTGAAGTAGACAATACTGTGCCGTTGTACCCACGATTACAATGGCTTTTGAAACATCCTATTTTTCAACAGATCTGCTGTGAATTAGAAGAATGTCAGAATCCTTGTTTGGAGCTGGATCCTCTAGAATGTGAATGTGACCAAATTCTCATTTATCATCAAGAAAATTCTTTGGTGACCTGTGATCAAATCTTTCTTCTAGTTAGGGAAGTTATAAATAGAAGACAACCAGAAATGGTATCAAACAGTAGAACTTCTTCTACTGAAGCTGTTGCTGGGAGTGCTCCACTTTCACAAGGATCTTCTGGTATTATGGAGTTGTATGGTTCTGATGTAGAACCACAACCCAGTTCTACCAATTTTATAGAAAATCCTCAAGAGCTCAATGGATCTATACCAGCCCACATGGATGTTAATGTAGACCTTGTGAGTCCAGACAGTGGATTGGCCACTATTAGAAGCAGCCGATCTTCCAAGGAGAGCTCTGTTTTTCTTAGTGATGATAGCCCTATCGCAGAAGGTGCTGCTTCCCATCACAGTCTTCTGCCTGGTTTTGATTCCTATAGCCCTATTCCTGAAGGTACAATAGCAGAGCAAAAACCTCAGTCTAGAAACAATAGCAATAACTTTGATCTTTTCAATTTTGATCTAGCACCCATGGTTACAGCTCCATCTGAGTCGTCTTCTCATTCCATTGACTGTTCCCCAGCAGATGACTTTTTCCTTAATAGTGATTCATCAGAAGGACAACCACCCACTGTGCAAAAAGAACTCAATGAGGCAAACCTACTAGAAAATGACATAGCAAATTATTCAACTGACTTACTAATGGCAACAAACGAGGAAGACAATTTAGCTGAATTTGATGAGAATCCAGGAGATATATGTGAGAAAACTTCAAGCTTGATTGATTTAGTTGAAGGTGATTCTTCTTCACCTGAAATGTTGAAATCTGCTGATTCAAGAATTCCGCCAACTCCTATGAACAATCTTGTAGAAACTTCACCATTAGATAATGGGCAGCCTTTATTTTTCCCACAAGATGTAGTAAAAAAAATTAATGAAATGGATAGCTCAAACTATTCTCAGTCTCATGTTAGGTATGGGAGCTGGTGGGATGGCTTTGACATCATAGAGTCCAGAAATGCTGATACATGGAGTTCAAGCGAGCAGGAATCTCTATTTCAGAGCCCTGTCTTATGGAAAGATTGTAAAGCAAGTCCATTGTTACGGGAACATATTGGAAGAGCCTCAGATTCTGTATTCCTGCAAAAACAGCCAAAGCAAATGGAATACACAAGAGCAGGTCTGTGGGATAATCAATTTAAACAAGATGATAGTCAGAACCTAGAGAATGAAGAGAAAAACACTGAACGTTCACATTTGCAAACTGCTTCTTTCGAGGAGACAGAGCAAGAACTGGAGAACTTTACTGACCCATGGAAGGCAAGTCAGCCAATACCTGTGGTATCAGATGTGTGGTGTACTGGTGAAGGAAAAGGTGGTCAACTAGCTGGAGACTCTTATGAAGTCTGGACTAAGTTTGATGCAGAGGATATTGCTAAATCCTCAGAAAACATATGGAACATGCCCAAACTGGACAGAGAAAAAAAATCAGTGAATAATCCTGAGGAATGGGAAATATCAAAAACTAGCTTATCAGAGCCTTCAGAAATCACAGCAGACAATGAGACTGAAAACCCACCTATTCAGGTGTCTCCAGAAGCCTGGTATAAAGAGAGATACTATTCAATAGGAGAACATGGAACATCTGAAAATACAAATTCTAGTATCAACAATATGCAAAACAATTTCAAGTTACAAACAGAGGAAAAAAATGTATTAGTTGACCCTAAACATAGACTAAAACAATTTGAAAATATAGAGCCCTGGAATTTATATGATAAAAACATCAGGAAAGAAGTAACAGAAGTAGTGGTGCCATGGGAAGATACCTTCTTGGCATATAAATGCTCAGACCTTAGCTCATCAAACATTGGTGAAGATTTAGTTGTTTCTCCACTAGACACCAATTATTCAACATCTGATTCATATATATCACCTACGTATGTGGGAGATGAAAGAGAAAATGAGGACAAAGATTTTGACAAAGTAGTTACTGATAAATTCATAAACCCAAATTTAGATGAACCAAAAGTACTTGAGAAAGCAGATAAGGAACCGTTATCCCCTAGAAACATGCCTTTTTCAAGCTCCAGAAACACAGCCTTAAATAATGAAACCCAATTAAAAGAAAGAAATTCTGAGATTACTGCTCTTTCTGCCACTGGTACACCTTTACTCAATTCAGAACAAACAGCTAATCAATATTTTTCAACTGAGAAATATACTCGTGAAAATAACTTTTCTATCTCTCAAAACAGAAGAATAACACCAGTATACAATCGAACAGTGAATGACTTGTCACTGCCACAGAATGAATTAAATACTAGATGTACATCTGAAAACGTAGAAACAGTGAGCAATTTTCCGGTAGAAGAGACAGGCACATCTACAACAACTTCAGATGCTGGTAACGATTTGAACCTGAAAGCATTTGACTTAGGAAGTGAGATACTGGGTAAGGAAGAAGCACAAAACACTGTTGATGATGAAAAGCTGGATAGTTGGCAGTCAGTGCAGGAGCCAAACTTATGGAGTTTACAGACAGAGCAGGATTGTGAGGAAGGCTGGGAGAACTACTATACCGTTTTCATCTCTCAGGAAGGAAAAGAGGAATGTAAGAGAATAGATGAAACAAATGGACAGCAAAATATTAGTGACATTTGTAACATACCAGTGCAAGGTGATAGTGAATCTTCATGTAATGCAGAGTCAGAAGAAAACAGGTCAATGTGTGAAGTTCCCAGCTCACTAGAAAAAATGAGGAATAGTGTTAGTTCGGAAGCTTTAGACACAGAGAATATGTCATTTTCCAATGACAGTAATTTAGTCAGTCAGAAAGAGAAGAAAGAATTATTACAGAACAACACAGAATCTTCTTCAAGTGCTTCTGAGGAAGATAGAAATTATGAATCTTTTGATGACTCCATTTAACTCCAAAAAGCCACAAAATTACAGTTATAGTGAAATATCACAGCCACTTTCTGAGAAAGGTAAAAAGGAGATTACAGTGATAGTTGATGCATCTGTGAATGCGTGGGGAGACCTTCCAGTTGCCAGTCATCACAAAGAGAATAGAGATATGTGGGATTTTACAAATGATAAAAAACTTGAGGAGGCTAAAAAAAGAAAAGAATTTGGGAATGAATGTCAAGAAGGGCTTGAAACAAGCACTGAACACAAAGTTCCTAAAAATTTAGATTTTTGGAATGCCCACGTAGATGATGATACTGTATCTTCTTTGTCAAATCCTGAAATAAATGAGGATTCAGAGAATTCAGATACATGTCCAACAGCAATTAATGAAGATTCCACATATGAAAAAAAGAAGCACAGGGCATCTGAAATTGAAGAGGATTATGCACAATCCAATGCAACAAGTCCTGAAACAGATGAAGACAATTTACATGCAAAAACTAATGTGGGAGAGGAGGTCCAGGTAGGCATCTTAAATGAGAATCTTGAAACAATTAAAGCTGGGAATATATCAAAGGATGACTTGACTATAACTGAGCCTAATGAGGCTTCTGAACATTTAGACCACTGGGAAACACTTCAGAAAAAAGCTCAAGAGACTATTTTCAGTGAAAAAACGGGTACTGCAGAAGACTCATATTTGCATCAAGTGAATGAAGATGATACTCTGACTTATGCAGTTGATGATAAAGAAGAATATTCTTCAAAAGCTTTAGATATGTGGAATATGTCATTGGAAGCTGATTTAAGATTTGAACCAAAGTCCACAGTAGAAATATTTGGTTTTCCAGATGACAGTTCAGAATGGTGGAATTCACAAACTTGTGAAGAAAAACTAGTTGAAGATCAATATTCTACTTCAAGCCTTCCTGTAGCAAACCCATTAATAAACAGTAAGCAGGACTCCTGGGGACCATCTATACCAAATGAAGAGCTAGAAGATGCACATTTCACTGATCCAAGTAATGATGGAATTCAGGCTCCCCACCTGTACTGCAGTGAAAAAGAAAATGAAAGGCTAGCACAGTCTATGAATATTCATGATAGTCAAATAAATCAAGATACTGTACAATTCAAACAATTTGATCCTTTCATACTGGACAAAGAAGGAAGGGACTTGAAAGAGCAGCCTTTTCCCACAGATGAGGGAGATCAACTGATTCCACAGAATCCTTTTTCAGAAGATTGTGAACCAAGTATGTCAAGTACATCGGTTCAAGAAAACACAATACTTGCTCAACCAAATGACAATGAGGGAGATGCAAGTCTCATTCCTCAAGAACAACAACTGGATACCTGTGAAACATTAGAAGTGCCAGATGCTTTCACTGTAGAAGACTTATCTTTTGAAATGACAGAGAAGTCAAGTCCAGGGTGGAATATATTAGTTCCCCAAACTGCACTTATCCCAGCTATTTTACAGGATAACACCCAAGAAAGTAATCAGCTGTTTTCAGTGGAACCTGACCTGTGGACTAATGCTGAGCAACTTTTCACTTTGAAAGGAGACAATGAAAATCCTGATATATTAAGTCACTGTGACCAAGACAATAGTTCAGAGGCATCAAGCAGTCCAGATGTGTCCCAGGAGTATGATGCTAGGCATGCCTCTCTCCTATCTTCTCAGACTGAGGTGGAGCCTGAAGACAGTCAACTGATTTGCACACTGTCAAATATGAGTAAAGAGGTAGATTTTGATTCAAAGTATCAGTTAGTGATGCAGAAGTTGGAGGCACAGTCTGAAAGTGATAGTCCCCAAGACTATGATCAAGGAAAGACAGATGAATCCTATCAGCTAATCTCTCCTAATACTCAGGAGCCTTCTGCACTTGTAATTTTGGAAGAATATGGCCTAGAAAGGAAACTTGTTACTGAGCAAATCAAGACAGTTAAGATCCCCACTGAAGTTTTAGGAGTAACATCCTTAGATCTGAAAGATATATTCCATGAAAGTAATATTCCTGCAAGCCATCAAGAAACACCACTTGATTCAGCTCAAACAGTGAACTCCCAAACACATTTTATTCCCACTGATTTCACTCTACGTGATATGCCAGAACAAAGCTTAAAAGAAATGAGTGCCTTGGCTGAAACTGAAAAATATTCTGATATTGACTGTACAATAATAACTAGTGATGAATTAGAAATATCAGATGAATGCATGGATGGATCTGAGACTGGGGTAGAACATAACATCAGTAACACATCTGTCACTAATATCCCATCAAGCACATGCAATGGAATGAGCACATTGACAATAGTGGGCAGTGAAGCAGCAGAAAGGGACTCAAGTGCTAAACAGATATTCTTCCCCAGATCTTTTCTGTCTGGTGATAATGAAGACCATGAATCTGATTCAAGTAATCAGCTGGTTGATGACATAGTAAAAGAACCCGAACATATAATTGAAAATGATGCTCCTGTGTTTAAGGGAATGCCTAGTGATCAATCGCCAGTGATGTGCGCTTCACCTTCTCATGTATCTCTTGGTGCTGAACCCTCTGGCAGCAGAGAATGTGCCAAGAATGAGCTCTTGTTACAGCAACCATTTTGTGACACTGTTTCTTTGGAAAAGCGTTTACCACTGCTTACTCCTCAGGGAGATGCAGAAGGTACCCTAATGATTAAAGATGACAGCGTCAAAGATCAGGTGCCTGACACATCCACAGAGTGCCCTCAGGAAGAGCCGGTGTTGGTGTCTTTGCTCTTGGAGTCTGAAGTAGCTCCAGGAGCCTCTGAGATTTTGAAAGGCATCAAGCACGAAGCAGAAACAACTGATCTCGACTCACCGCCAGGTGGAGATAAAAGATCACCTGATGGTAAGAAAACTTACATTCTTTCCAGAGCAATTTCACAGGACAAAGAAAGAAGGAAATATTTGATTATTACTGCTGCATGGTGAGGCTTTGAGTGAAGTTTCAAGTTTGTGTGTCTCCCTGATGTACAAAACTCTGTACTTTGGGAAGACCTCTAACATCACCCTTCTAGACTGATCTAAAGCTTTTAAACATTGAAGCAGTGGCATCATTTATGATGTTTGTACAGGGCCTAGCACATGGGACACTGAATCATTTGTCCCTTAGGAATGATCACAATGTTAATGTATAAGCTTTGACATCATCATCATTATCATTATTGTTATAAAGTTCAGTGCACGTTAACAGAGGCTGTCAAAGCAAACTGAAACGAGCTTCATCTCATTGTACTGATTTAAAGAAATCATGGTGACTAAAATAGTAATGTGAAAACTAAAAACAGTTTCTGTTTGCCTGTTTCTTTAGAAGCTGCCACTGACCCACTTTGTAGGGAGAATAAGCCGAGAAATTCCTCTGAGAGCCCTGAACTTAAAAGTACAGAGGGTAAGGAAGATATGAGGATGCAGGTGCACAGAGATCAAACTTCACTGCAGATGGATTACATCCTTGTTACTAGGGAAGAAAATACACCTTCAAGGAAGGATACCCTTGAAAAAAAAGGAAGTGATTTTACATTTCAAGAAGTTAATGTAGCTGAACAAACAGAATCTCATGAAGGCTTTTCACCAGGCTCCTCAGATACATTTCAGCCAATTTCTATAATAAATGAAAGGGAAGGCCACTGTGTTTGGGGGACTGAATGGGACTCTGTTAACTTAGCAGAGAAAAGTTCTTCTTTTGTGCCTCAAAAATTGGATGATGAAAGGAGATTGCCAGAAAACTGTGGGCAAGATGAGGGCTGGATTATTTTGGGCCGAAATGAAGTCAGTTACATATCACCTGAAGAAATTTCTGCCAGGTTAGAGACGCCAAAATCAGGGTCTGGACATTCTGGTGAAGAACTGGAAGCTGTTATAGCGCAGGAATCAATTCTTGACACTCAAGCAGAATTTCAGCTAGAAGCTGCCCTTCACAAATCTTCTGAACGTGGGGGCTGTTGTCCCTTGGACAGTCTGACTACTGAGGATGAGAATATCACAAGAGCAGATGCCCTCATGTTGCAGGTGGTTGGTGGTGATGGTGTATGGGAAGCAAATTCTCAACAGAGACTTGGAAATAACGTAGTAACAGAACAAGAAATGGAGGAAGAAACAGTGCTTCTCAACAGTGGAAGAAAACTGAGTCAAAGATCAGGGTAAGGAAAAACCAACCTGTTTCCTTTCAAGGGTCTTCTGTTCACCTATTATCGATGTTATTAAAGTACATGGGATTATGAGTAGATGGCAGGATTTTCAAGGCTTAAATATTAATATTATTTACATGATTTAAGTATCACTGTATTGCTCACTTTGTAAGAACAGTCTTGGTTGCTTGATATAAATCAAATTAGGATTGTTTTATAATGCAGGAAGCTTGTAAGACCTCTTTCTTGCAGGAAGAAGTCTGTCTTCCTTCCATAAGGTCCCATAGGCTTTATAATCTGCCTTTAAATCTGAAAGTGTGGCCAGGGAACCCACAGGACCAGGTATTGGTGGAATTGCCAGTCTAGCTGCAATGCTAGTGGTGGAATTATGGAGTGCATGAAGTGAAATACTCTCTCTGGCTAGTGGGGAAATGCTGGGAAGGAAGATGGGGTGGAGCAGAGACCTAGGGTCAGAAAAAGATCACAGAATCACAGAATGGTTGAGGTTGGAAGGGACCTCTGGAGATCATCTAGTCCAACCCCCCTGCTCAAGCAGGGTCACCTAGAGCACATTGCCCAGGATCACATCCAGACGGGTTTTGAATATCTCCAGCGAAGGAGACTCCACAACCTCTCTGCTACTTGTAGAGAAAAGAAAAGGACTAGGGAAAATTATGGTCTCTGTGGTTATTTCCAAGCTGCAGTGAGATCAGAGCAGCATTTCTGTCTTTTCAGACTGGATTGGCAGTTGAGACAGAGTGTATTCACACCTCCCTTTGGGTGGAAGTGCAGCCAGTGTGTTGACAGCATTACTGCCTGCTGAGCGTCACCAGAGAGGGAGGGAGTTATCAGTGATGACCCTCTGGGCTCCAGTTACTGCAGCATTTTGGAGAAGGTGCTTCTGTTATTGACTCCTCAGCTGTTACAACCTCTAGGTACTGCTGCAAGGTGCTTCTAGGGTAGCCCCACAGAGACGTGAGTGCGGAAGTCTGGCCTCATTGCTCCTGGGCAACTTGCACTGACGTGCTGCAGTTTTACAGTGATAACCTGGCACAGAGTTTATACGGGGAAATTCTTGTGAACAGCAAAGAAACTTCCCAGCAGAAATAAAACTGAAGAGTATAACTGCTTCATACATGTTTCTCCCTTTGAACTGCACTCACCCAAGAGAACCTATGTGATAAGAAATGTGTGGTGACGTTGTTTGTGTGAAATGTTAGACTGATTTTTGACTTTTTTTGAAATTTCTCCCAAGCATTGGGAATCAGTTCAGTGTAGGATACACATCATGCTCACAACTTCTATTATCCTGTTTTAATTAGTTTGCAAATGCAGCCCAGGATACCCTTGGCCTTCTTGGCCACAAGGGCACATTGCTGGCTCATGGTCAACTTGTTGTCCACCAGGACTCCCAGGTCCTTCTCTGCAGAGCTGCTCTCCAGCAGGTCAGCCCCCAGCCTGTCCTGGGGCATGGAGTTATTCCTCCCCAGGTGCAGGACCCTGCACTTGCCTTTGTTGAACTTCAGGAGGTTCCTCTCCGCCCATCTCTCCAGCCTGTCCAGGTCCCTCTGAATGGCAGCACAGCCTTCTGGTGTGTCAGCCACTCCCCCCAGTTTAGTATCATCAGCAAACTTGCTGAGGGGGCACTCTGTCCCTTCCTCCAGGTCACTGAAGAATACATTGAACAAGACTGGACCCAGGACTGACCCCTGGGGGACAGCGCTAGCTACAGGCCTCCAACTAGACTCTGCGCCACTGACCACAACCCTCTGAGCTCTGCCATCCAGCCAGGTCTCAATCCACCTCACC